CACACGTCAGCCGGTTCGTCAGCCGTGGCAGAGGGGCTGCCCTTCCGACCACACGTCAGCCGTGGCAGAGGGGCTGCCCTTCCAAGTGCACGTCAGCCGTGGCAGAGGGGCTGTCCTTCTGACCGCATGTCAGCCGGTTCGTCAGCCGTGGCAGAGGGGCTGCTCTTCCGACCACACGTCAGCCGTGGCAGAGGGGCTGCCCTTCCAACCGCATGTCAGCCGGTTCATCAGCCGTGGCAGAGGGGCTGCTCTTCCGACCACATGTCAGCCGTGGCAGAGGGGCTGTCCTTCCGACCGCATGTCAGCCAGTTCGTCAGCCGTGGCAGAGGGGCTGCCCTTCCAACTGCACACATCAGCCGGTTCGTCAGCTGTGGCAGAGGGGCTGCCCTTCTGACCACACATCAGCCGGTTCGTGCACGTGGGCAGCCCTGGCCTGTCACCAGTGCGCTGCAGAAGCCAACACCTCTAGGCCTGTGACACCAGGCCCTCCCATTTCCTTAGCGGGAGCCAGTCTCAAACCCAGAGCTTCCTGCATAAAGGGACCCTTGTTTGCCCTCCATCCTTCTCTAATGGTGGTAGGCTGACTGAGAGTCAGCAAAGGGAAAGAACAAGGCTTTAAGAAGCCCTGGATGCATGAAATCCCTGGGTTCGATTCCTCAGCACCACATAAGCAAAAAGAAGCCAGAAGTGGCACTGTGGCTCAAGTGGTAGAGTGCTAGCCTTGAGCTGAAGAGCTGAGGGACAGCGCCCAGGCCCAGAGTTGAGGTCCCACAACCAACAACAAAAAGTCCTAGAGACTGAAAAGCAGCCACTGGCAGTCAGGTGGTAAGTTCTGGCCCAGGTGCGCCTCACAGCTGACTAGTATCAGCAAACTTGGTGGAACTTGGCACTGGCTTCCTGAACCCTGAAGCCAGGTTCAGAGCCTGTTAGGATGCAGGCCTGAAGCATCCCCCAATGGCTCATGGGAAGTCTTGAGCAAATACAATTCCTAGAACAGAGAAGCCCTTTGAGAGCAGAAGCCCCTGACCACACTGGCTTCCCACCCCCGAGGGTTCGCAGGAAGTCACCCCCAAGGCTCCTCTGTGTGACCTCCAGAGGCTCATCTCCTCAGCAGAAGGGGACCCACGGACTGTGCTGGTCTAACATGCACTGCATGCAGGAGGAACCCGGCTAGCGTGATGCCACCTGTGGCAGCCAGCAGACAGCACTGTCCACACAGGCCTGCACCACTGGTCAGCTCGCAGCTCTTCCCGAGGCCTGGATGTGCAGCTCAACGAAGCAGCTACCTCCTCAGGAGCTGTCTTTGTCCTTCCGGAAGGTGGACCCTCACAGAGCCCACGTGTGCACTGTGATGGTGCGGCTGGCAGCTGCAGGCTGCACCCAGTGGGCCATACACCGGGGGATAAGGAGACTGCCGAACAGCTTGGGTGAGCGGCCAGCCACCACACAATGGAGGGCAGGGAAGATGTCTAGAACTGAGATTCTCTGGGCAAACTTGGTATTCCAAGTCCAGTGATAGGATACTAAATCCAAGCACCCCAAACAAGCATGGATGATGGGAGGTGAGCAAAGTCCTGGAGGCAAAGGTGAGGGGGTGGACAGGTCATAGGGAAAAGTTTAAACACTGAGCTCTCATTGCCAGGCACAAGACAAGACACGCAGCACCTCTGTGTCCTTTCCAGTCTACAACACATGCATTGATCGGATAACACGCTTTTATGTAGTATTTTATTCTCTAATTCCCAAGTCTAGTTGAGAGGGTCACTAGTGGGCTTGGGCAGACAAAGGGACAGCAGGGTGTGCCAGGCTGCTCCCCCAGGACCCTCCCCAGCC